ATGACTTTCTACTTGTTATGAGTACTTGTCTAAAGCTTTTGTACTCCCTATCGCCATTCTTACCGAGTCCCCACTGGATTCCCCTGCGTGTAATTGATTGATGTAAGCTGAGAGTCGTGATTCTGTGGCGATGGAACTGGCGTTTTGTTGAATTCAATAAAGTGACTGATATTTCATAACACAAGCTAGTAATCTGTAAATATGTATATGTAATACTGAAAAATAGAGGATGTAAATCCTTTGCTAATGAAAAGATCCAAAAATCCACAACTGGCTGATTTATTGATGTAGACTCGCCTTACTTAACCCGAGGAGGACCCACGAATGTCTTTTCTCACTGTGTCTCGACACCTTTTTCGTTTTACTCTTCTAAAGGCGCATGTGCTTACATATCTAACTACTCAGCGTTGCATGGAATTCTATGTAGAATCGTGGGCATGACACAGTTCAGATATATGCGATTATTCACACTTTCACTCATTATGATGATATTGTATTTCTGTCTAACAGCAGTGATTGTCTGACAAACTGTGTCATTATCAATCAAAATAAAGACACGATCTTAAATCCCTTAGATTCCTGCGGTTGCATGATAACCCTAATAAAATCAACTTGGGAGAAAATAAACGCATCCCATGTCATAAAAAAGACGTTTCGACAGTTCAGTTGAGAAATGTCAATTTCGCGCTATGTGTAAACTCTGATTAGAACATACCTCCGAGTAATTGCGAAAATGATAATGAAACAATTCGCAATGTAAGCGGACATTTGGGACATCACTTAAGCAATCCCAGCTTCAATATTTGACAAAAGCTTGCAATTTTGCTCAAAGATGAAATGCAATTCCTTTTGCCTATAAATGGAAATAACCGATAGCGAGTCCTGATGGCCAACAATCTCTCTCGGGACGTAACTCCTGAACGCAACAATATATCTTCATTAGGGCGTCACGTACTTGAGACTACTGCTCGCTGATCTCTTCGCTATCACCTGTTCCTACATTTAACTTCTACAACCAAGCATCAGAATCGTTCATGTGCCTGTGACCATGCCTAATTGGTATAAAAAGTGTGTCAACTGGAGCGGGAATTTAAACACGATTATTCATGTTGGTAAAGTGTCCGAAAACACAATTCGGATATCTATATTACTTTTGGCCTCGTCCTAAGCCATGGATTAAGCAGTGAAAGCGAGTCCGCTTTTGCTTTATGACAAATGTTGCTGACATGTCATCGCAAGCTAATCAGACTTGGATATTTAATTAAAATCTATATGTAGGCATTACTGTTGTTAGCCTTTAGATCATAAACTAGATTAAATAAGAAGTTCGATCCTCAAGAATGACTGATTTGCTACTGGGAAAGGACACGATATATTTGAGGTTTTCCATAAACAACAGTGAATCAATGGGTTGCGTTCATTCCGCTCATCTTATTGAAAATTAGATTAGCCCATTCTAAAGTCATATATCTAATTGTTAAGAGATTACTATGGGTAATGGATATCACTTATGGCTGTGAATCTCTGATTTGACCAACGGCCTAATTCAAAAACATTAATCACTGAACCTGTTGATGGATGGAAATATCTCTCCTAGGAATTGAGGTACGTGTAAGAAACATTCCTAACGCGCTACTAAGCATCGTAGATGAACATATTGTTCCTGTAAAGACAAGAGTTGAGCAAACAGTACTGGATAAGACATTTACATCTTGCGTGATAACAACCTGCAGCCATTCAACTACTTCAAAAATGATTTACTACCAATACTTTTGGAGTTTCTAGAAGTCAGTACGTTTGTCAGTACGGTTTTTTAAAATGTCAAATAACAGTCTAAAAATGGATAGCCTTGATATCCCCGATCTGTCATACTGGAGTGAGATGAGGGGCCTCATGGAAGACAAGTAAGAGCTAAATTTACATTAATTAGTGCATGTATCTCTGACCTTATGTAACGTATGTTTTTAATAATACATTATAATATTCCTGTGTTGTATTGCGCATCGTAATGGCGCAGGACTGCAAATAGGAAGAGCGACAAATTAAAAGTTGATAAGCATGATCAATTTGGCCGTGTGACATAATTAAGGAGTTTTGACTTAGTTTTGATCGCAATATAGGTGCTTGAACTGTTGTGACTTCGTCTATTGATTAAATAGAAAACGAGTATGTACGTTGCTCAGCTTTGACTAGGGTAGCTATCCAAGCTTCGTGTTTTAATTCCCTGTTTTAATCTGCTGACAAATTAAAAACAGTAAAACAAGCCTATAATCTAATCATTCAATTCTTTAAGACCATATCAATACACATACATTCGGAGCAGTTTGAAATGATTTTATCGCAATATACGGGTACTTGCAAGTATGGGGAATAAAAGTCAGCGAGGGAGAAAAAGATTATTAAATGAAAAACATCCTAAATATAAAGTGTTGCTTTTAATGTAGAAACTCATCCATAAATCCGTTGATTAGAACAGAAACCCAATTAACAATTCAAACAACCGAGCCAATCAAAAATGCAAGATATAAATATATACCATGACCCATTTCATTACATTATTAAAGGCAATGTGCTTAAGAACAATCTCAAATGAATACCTATTAGTTGTTATTTCAGATCCGTTACACACATCTCACATATATATTCCCGCGAGATAATAGCATTGGACTTACGAATACGTACGAGAGTGTTATTAAAGTGGTTGCATAGATTATTTGTTCAAGTGAATCGCAGGACAATTGAGAGTTTGGCATCAGCTGACTTATATAGATGGATGTCAAATCGTACAGTACAATGCATTTGATTAACAGACTGTTTAGTTGGGTCTTTAACACGAATTCTCTAGCTATAGGTACAATGTACCCTATCGCCTTGAAAAATTGTTTAATCTCCAGGCTTTAATTAATTTGGTTGAGGGGCTAAAGGAGATTTTCGATAAAATGTAATACTTTAGCTGTTTAGGGTACAATGACATTAGGTTTAAAAATATTCCATTTATTCAAATTGTAGTTTAGTTTATCATTTTGCATAATTAACATCATTGGTCGCATTGGAGGGCTTGGTGGTATCATTGGAAGGCTTAGCACCGGTGGTCTAATTAGATTTGTTGATAACATCATCAGTGGTATCAGTGGTATCAGTGGAAGGGTCAGCATCAGTGGTTGCACAGGAAGTTTGGTATCCATGGCCACAATTGAAGGCTCGGCATCAGTGATTGCATTAAAAGGCTTAGCACCGGTGGTCTCACTGGAAAGGTTTGCATTATTTGTTCCTTTGAAAGGGATAGCATCTATGGTCGAATTTAAGGGTTAGCATAAGTGGTCTCATTGGAAGAGAGTCAACATTAGTTGGCCTATTAGAAGGGTAATCACCAGTAAACTTATTGGATGAGTTAGCAACGGTGGTTTAATTCGAAGGGTTAACCTCATCAATGGTATCAGTGGAAGGGTTAGCATCCATGGTTACACTTGAAGGGTTAGCATCCATGGTTACACTTGAAGGGTTAGCATCCATGGTTACACTTGAAGGGTTAGCATCCATGGTTACACTTGAAGGGTTAGCATCCATGGTTACACTTGAAGGGTTAGCATCCATGGTTACACTTGAAGGGTTAGCATCCATGGTTACACTTGAAGGGTTAGCATCCATGGTTACACTTGAAGGGTTAGCATCCATGGTTACACTTGAAGGGTTAGCATCCATGGTTACACTTGAAGGGTTAGCATCCATGGTTACACTTGAAGGGTTAGTATCAGTGGTTGCATTTGAAGAGTTACCATCAGTGGTTGCATTTGAAGAGTGGAGGGTTGGCATCAGAGGTCACATTCGAAAGGTCGGCATCCGTGGTTGCTGTGGAAGGGTTAGCGTTATTAGGTCGCATTGGAAGGCTTGGCATCAGAGGGTTACCACCAGAGGACACATTGCAAGGGTTAACAACAGTAGTTGTGTTGGACGGGTTATCATCTGTGATTTGATTAGGTTGAATAATACCAGTGGTCTCATCGGAAGGCGAAGTATCGTTTCAGTTGTTGCATTGGAAGGCTTGGCATCGATGGTCCCATTAGATAGTTAACTCCAATGCTTTCCTGTGATGGGATAACATCAGTGGTTGCATCGGAAGGGTTAACATCAGTTGGCCTTTTAGAAGGGTAATCATCAGGAATCTTATTGGATGGGTCATCACCAGTGGTTTAATTAGAAGGGATAACATAAGTGGTCTCATCGGAAGACTCAGCATCAGTATTTTTATTGGAAGGGTTAGCATCAATTTTCTCATTGGTAAAGTTAACATCAGTTGTCATACTGGAAGGGGTAGCATTAGAGGTCTCATTGAATGGGTTAGCATCAGTGGTTTAATTAGAAGGGATAACATAAGTGGTCTCATCGGAAGAATCAGCATCAGTATTTTTATTGGAAGGGTTAGCATCAATTTTCTCATTGGTAAAGTTAGCATCAGTTGTTCCATTAGAAGTGTTCTCATCAGTGGTCATACTGGAAGGGGTAGCATTAGAGGTCTCATTAAATGGGTAAGCATCCATGGTCGCATTTGAAGGATTGGCATTAGTGGTTTAATAATAAGGGATAACACCAGTGGTCGCTTTTCAACGGTTTATGTCAGCAGTAGTGTCTTTGGGACTATGCTTTAAGTATTAACATCACTTTTAATATTTTAAAGCTTAGCGTTCTTACTCTTATTACGAAATTGATGGGTATTTTTTACAAATGCATCACCTGAGAAAGCCAGGACGAGATTAAGCCGATCATTATAACACGTCAAGAAACTCTCTGCCTTGTAGGTAATTATGTAAGAAAGGAAAAGTAATTACACAAGGAAAATAGTCTTTCCAGTCAGTCAGATTAAGTTATTTTAAAAAACAATGTTGAAGTATTATCATAGTCTTCCGATAAGAATAATATCATACAAATATGCTAGATTAGATATGTTAACACAAGTTCCTAAAAAGGTCAAAGGAAGACGAAAATGGAATATGTAAACATGGCCTTGATGATGTTGTGTTTAGAGATGACAATGAATGGTATGATTCTTTTTTGACCATATCCTCCCAACAACACAAAAGTAATTTTCTATCTGAATGTTCCTCGAAATCTTCACTAGAATTTTATGAATCAATCAAACAAACCCCATTTCTGGAGAATTACCTTACTTCAAGTAATGATTTTGTTGGACAGAGATTGAAGTTCAAAGCCAGAACTGGGTGTTTAGGTATTGGAACTGACCTCAAAAGAAGAAAATGCGATGATGGTTTTTGCAAACTTTGTTCCCTTCATCCAATTGATGATTTAACACACAGATTTTTTACATGTAGTCACAACCAACGTGAAAGGATTGATTTTTACAACAGAATTAAAACCTCATGCTCCCCTGATGTATTTAATATGTTCTTAACGCTTCCTTTAAATGAAAAATTAAAGTGGTGCCTAGGAGATGTTGTTTTTAGTATTTGGGGCAAAGACCAAGGATTCTTGTTTGACAAGTGTGTCAAACAATTTTTAGTGACTATTAATAACGATATTTTAAACTCATAACATATGTACAATTTAACATATTTATTTTATCTATCTGTATTGTATTGTATTTTATGAATATGTATTTATTCTATGTACTGCCGCACTGGAATTTTCCATTGTGCCACTGATTAAAAAGTGTTTGGCAAATAAATAAATAAATAAATAAAAATAAAAAAGTACGACTGATAAAAAGGAAATAACTCCGATATCCCAATGATCAGTGATCGAATGTATTTTTAGATCTAGAGTGTATACCACCGTTTTTACCCCAGTCATTAAGAAAACGTTATTATATATATCGATATCGAACAACATTTTAAGTGTACCACTTTGTTTATATTATTATGAAAATACACAGATTTCCTCTATTTATCAATAACATCGATTATTCATATCAACATGAGGTGTGAAGAACACAACACACATTCGGATATTGACATTATTCTATCGAACTGTATCAATAGTTTTCAAAAAGATGCCGTATGAGCTGATCAAGCTAACCGTTCGTCCAAGCTGCTTTATTTTGGCTTTTCAACATTTAAAGCTTTTACAACTATTCAAGATACACAACCTCACTGACAGTCTTAATTAGATTAAATAGGCGTGTCTCTTCTATGTATCTATATCAACTCGGAAAAAGTACTTTAAGAAATCAACGATCAATCAAAAAGATGCAGACCAGACAATCAGATTCTTGAGTTCATGCAACGTCAGTTTACATCAGCATTCTGCTGAACAGAATTTACAACTTACAAATTAATGATGTAGCCCAAAAGGTAACACAATACCAAGTTATCTAATTTGTACTTTAACACCATATGATTGCGTAATTTTCTAAACTATAAGAAATCTGAGATGTTTTATAGCACCGGCACAAACAGTAAAATTTACAAAAACGAATCAACCCTAAGACATTGCAATATCAAACAACTATTCAGATAATAAAGAAAATCAAGATAGTTCAAATGATATATTCCGATCTCACGTGTCTTATCCCTAGGTTAACACAAAATAATAATACACAACTTCCTCATCATGATTTATCATTTACGTTTCCACCCTGGCATCCTCTTATTGCAATTTAAACAGTTCACGCAGATTTGCAGGAGATATGATATCATATAATAGACACACAGCTTTTATAAATGTATTTTCCTAGACAGATATTTTGTCAAAATTAAATGACTTTGATTTGCTCTCCTCTTTATCGATTTTATGGTTTTGTTGATAAGCCATGACTTTGATTCCAAATGAATATTGTCATTAATATTATACGCTAATCTTTTCTCAGATTCGGGTTGTAATGATCCCATTTGATTATCATAGCTTAGATTTAAGAATCGATTCGACTATTTTGTTCTCCAGTGATATTTGCGCTTGTAAATATGAAATACACCATATTCCTGCAAGCCGAATTAGGAATGTATTCAATCAACGCTTCTCTTTGTGAACACTTCAACGTATCAATACACGCTAAACTATGGGGTTAATTTAGTTTTGACATAACCCCATGTCCCATAAAACAACATTTAACAGTACTGATTTTCTAAGAAGCTTGATCTGTAAGAAAATCAATGTTACCAAACAAACTGGGCTGCAAATAGTCTTTACCCTTCTCTCCATCTTGTATTTTAACTGTTACATTGTGCATGATATTTTTTGAATCGGGATTTGTCAAGAAGTAAGATAATGGTAAGATAATGGGACTAAAAACAAAGGAGTAAATGATGATTTCATGCGATGTTTTATTGAATTAGCGGATTAGTACAAATCACAGCAGCTTTTCAGATTACCAGTACTACAACTGAGTTCAGTGACCATCATCATGATAAACCATGACATCTCAAATCTTCTCAGCCCTGCATGTTTCAGGTGAAACAGAAAGATGCAATGAAAATAAAAATTGGATGGATGGACTGTCTCTATCGGTATATCAAATATACCAAAATCGCATGACATATCGTGCCTGAACTAGGGGAACGTGCTTTCGTGGTAAGAAGCCTATCTGCTGCCTAATTGTTTTCTTCGGTTAAATAATGTGTTTACTTTATCTTCTCCTTGTTATCCCATGGTTTTAGGGATATAGATCGAGTATCACTCGGTTATTCTTCATTCTCACGATAATCCCATGGATCGATTTCAGGACCACTGTGCTTAATATAGATGATATCGATATATTGCAATTGTTGATATATTCACTAATGAATATTTATCATACTTTTTCAAAACCATGGAATTTTTTTATTCTGCTACCATTGCAAGGGTACGTAATATAATAATTGCAAAATAAAGGATACAAGACCCAAATAACAGGAAGGTCAAAAGGACCTAAATTATTGATGGCAGTAGCTTTGATTGATGAAACCTTAAAAACAGATCCACGATGAAATTAGCATCAACAGAGATATAACAGCAAGATCTGTAAATTCTCTGTCGTAATGCGACTTATATTTCGCAACCCGTCTCGTAAATCTTAGCCGTTAATTTTTAGTTGAATAATCTCGACAGCCAAAATTGAATGTCTTCCAAAGCATAACAATGCCTATGCTAAGTTAAACGTAATTGATCTGTATAATGATATAGTTTAGCTGTGCCTGGGGACCATGTCAATGTTTCAATGGTGTCCCTAAACAGTGATTGATTACGTTTAAGATTGTTTTATTTTCAATTTGAAATTCGCTCCCTTTTTGTTTTAAAATTGTATTCTACCCCGTCCTTCCTTTACCAACACGTTTCCGCCAACGTTCCGCACCTGAACGCACAGCTTACGTAATTACGTTTGTGATCGCCCGTCAATTATTGTCATTCTCCCTTACTCTATAGCGAGTAAATGTTCCATCCTGGTAAAACTAGTCTCACTGTTTGAGGAAAATCAGGAATGTATGAATTTATCACCGACATCTATGGTACTTATTGGAATTAGTTTATATGTACTTTGAGTGATTCTTAAGGTTAACGTAAAGAGGATATCATTTCCATCGTGAGTGGGTATCCAATAAAAGCTGTAGAACACTTAGCTTAAATTACTATTGCATCTAGAGGGGTGGATCTGTTAATAAGCTGCATGGATGCAAGGATGTGCATCAGAAGTAAATTCAGAACACAATAAATTACCGCAATTAAATTGATATCCAAATATGAAGGAATATGTTGACGGTTTATTTATACACCGTGTAGGAGATGTTTTCCGCCGAGTGATTAATTTCAATTATTTTCAGTTATGTTTTTATACAACCATATGTTCACCTGGAATGTGGAATGGAGCTCGACGTTATCAAAAAATATTTTTGAAACGCTTTTGCATCTTGCTTCGTGTTTGGATTGCCATACGGCAGGAAGAGCGTAACTTAACACTGTTATTTTTACACATGATCAGAGTTTTATGATAATTCAGATTTAGTTTCCTGAGTTGCCCAATCATATTTTTGCTGTTTTAATAGGCTTACTATTTGGCCGTTGGGTCATTATCCTGCCTCTGGGCTAAAGTAATCACGAATCAAACTAAAGCCGTGTACAAAAATATGAGCGGCAAAACGATCGATTTGCCTGTCTATTTTTTCTTATCAAATCTTTATACAATTTAATGAATTCCTCGACCCAGGGTTACGAGACAGTGAGACGGAAATAGAGAGTAATACGATGAAGACAAATGCAACCTTGCGTCTACCTACTCACGCGGAATAATTAGACTTTCGACTATTCACCAGGCGACGCGATATATTTTTTATTTGATAATTCAATAACCAGGTGTACGGGTATTCCATTTACACATTTGTAAATAATCTCTCTAGTTTAATAAATAACCACTTCAGAATAAGTACGTAAAGGTAACGGTTCTCTATATCCAAGGTTGCCATGATTTATATCTGCGTAATTCTTGCAAATCTTTCCAAGGATTACGTGTTAGAAAACCTTTCTGAAAGAAAGCGCAGTCTAATATACACGCCTCTATCAAACAAACGCCTGTACACTTATGTGTATTCAATTTAATTGAAATATTTCGCGATTGGATCATAAGATTTTCGAACTTTTTGGAAATTATTTTGCAACCATTTATACGATGTATATTAATATACATAAAATATATAGACGAATATAGCGCATTTCTTAAGCTATACAGGATATGTTTTTTCATTTATTTCTGGGAATCTGTCATTCGTATACATTATACTCTTCCCACGCACTGTACTGGACATTTGGAAGACATAGAACGTTTGGAAAGTCGTTTAGTAAGAGAGCGCAAAGGAATCAACCTTAAATTCCGAAGCCGCACAAAATACATTAGGAGGGGATAATCTTAAATTTCATGATTGAGTACTGGTTTAAAAGGCAACTGGCGGAGATTAATATCTATAGCTTCCATATAATATTTCACGCTACTTGGATTAGAATCACAACTCAGGGTGATATTGTGAGACAATAGTAAAGATCTGCTCCAAATTGCACTTATTTTCAACACAGAAACGGAAATAATATTATGTTTTGACTTTTATCTATGGATTCGTCGATGATGTATAACAAGGCTAAAATAAGTCAATGAATGTACATGTACTAATACAACCAAACTATCGCCATTAGTGTCATGTCTTGTATAATCCTGGAAATGTTAATTCTTTCGTCAATATTCACGAAAGATGAATCGCAATCATGATGTAAGGCGTCACATGAATAGACATAACAGTTATAAAGTTATGATACAACACATGGAGTATGAAGAACCCGTGGACGATTATGAGCACGACCAATGGTACATAGGAGATGAGCCAATAAGGTAAGATACCAGAAGTAGAAACGTCACAATATGCAAACAACACCAGGTGGTAGTTATAGAAACAGTGTCTTGTTGACGAATTTGTATTTTGTGTTGAATAAGTTTATCGCAATTGTCAGCACAACGACAGACCCCTGCTACAAGACATACAAAGTGTAACATCGACTTTTGCAATTGCTCTTTAAGAAAACTGCTCGATATTTGAATTGATCAGTGATAAGGCAGTAATAGATAAATCTAGATGATATAATCAATTGCATCTGTTACTTAAAATACTTGTTTTGTCGTATCCTCAGATTATTGCGTCTTGTAACAAATGTGGAAATTCATTGATTTTGTCAAGATTTTGAGTTGATATTATCACAATTTATTGTCGTAATATTCATATATATGCATA